TATAAATCGTTTCGTGTATGTGTATAAATCTCTACGAATGTATGTGTACAAGCACACATTTCAGGTAGGGCGACTAAACTCTATAACTCTAAAATTGGCAGCTGCGGCTTAAGCGTGGGCTATAATAGTCGAAACGGTTAGATAGACATAAACCTATATGCATATCATACATATACATATGTATGTACAGATACATGTACACGTATAAATCCCCAGCTAGTCTTCAGCAACCCAGTTGGGATTACGTGATTTGATAGCTAAAGACCAACAATGAAATGAACTTTCTTACAGATAAGACATCTGTTCACAACCCAGTAAATATGTATATACAAATACAGTCAAACATATTTATAGACTAACCGCTAGCATACCTACATAAATATGATGAAAGATTAAACCACTCTAACATCCGCTAGAAGCAAAGCATGGGAACCGAGCGACTTCGAATTCAAAAGAAAAATTGTATATTTAATGTTCAAAGCATACTACTTGTATACCCATTAATCGCGAGGCAAAAGTGGAAACTGGGGGAAAAATATATATATGCATGAGACAGTCAGAGCGTCAGAGGCGCGCTACAACAGTTTCAATAGATGACAATGTTAGACTACAACTGGCTCTATGTTTGTAAGTAAATCGATATATACAAGGCAAACAGCTCTCGTACTCAGACATACACACCATTCATATATAATATATGTATATACAACCACTTGAATCGAAGTACAAATTCCACAGCCTCAAGTCGTAACTCAACCTTAGAAGAACTCGAAAACGCCATGAATAAATCGCAAAACGTAGTCAGCTTATAGAAATATAGCGACGCTGTTTTGGGCGCTGAGAGAGTCTTTGTGTGCTGCGTTATCGAGTTGTCTGTCATTCGGCACGATTCCGTTTCCAGCACCTTAGAAACATACGAACACATAGTATATGTATGTAAATGTGTATGTATATACATTCATCTGCAGATTGTGCATATTAGACTTCTGTACATAATATGTTATAGCTGCCATCAACCTGATTTTCAGTTATTTCAGGTAATCTTCATTGCCACAGTTAATCGTTGAGATACAAAAATAAGAAGAAAAAAGAGCAACTCACTCAGCTTGACTCACTCGGTCTTCGGCAGCTGTCTGAGTCAACACAATGGCATACGAAAATGATATTAGTTGGAATGATGTTACACACAAAAGTACCCAATCGAAATGAAACATCTTTGCGCTGTCTGTCGGTAAAAATACCTATAAGTAGTACAATAACTTCCGTTTACCTGTGACGAATTTCAGATTTCTCAAAAACCTTTTTAAGCCGAAGCAACAATACTAATTAGGGATACCAGGCGAGTCAGTGGAATTTCAAATGGAATATATGTATGTTCATGTTTATACTTTCACATTTATCAACGACTGAATATATCGATCGGTTTCGGATACACTCAGTGAGTAGTTACATATATGCTTGTTTGATAAAAGTGCCTGAAAAGGGAAGCGTCGGTTACAACGACTCTTATTTTGGGGTCTTAACGATAACTGTTGAGTGTATATGTATGTGTATGCACTACTTACTATGTATTCACAGCGAGAACATAGCTACAGTCGTACATACATATCTACATTAATATTGATATAATTTATCACTTTGGGTCGAATATCAAGTATCTGTAATTTATTTTGTGGGCTTCTGCAACCACCACGTTGTACGAGTGTAAATGTGATTCTTTGTTGGTCTGCTCGCAGCGGTAGTTTGAAAACTTTTGCTGTATGGAACTCCCCTAGGGTGTTTCCACAATTCTAAAACTGACTCTCAGGCAAAGTATACCTTCAGATAAAGGTATACATGTATTTGTACATACGCATCTAAGTATATGCATTAAAGCAACTTTGTACGAGCAATATATGTATGTATATAAAAACTTGAAATTGGTAGAAGTCTTTGTAATTTCCTGTCAGTTGTTTCCCCAGATGCTATTATTTATTGGAAGAGTTGAGATTTCGCACGTAATAGCGATTACTCAGTTTTTATGGCATAAAAAAACTGTTGCTATAACAAAATAAAGAAAAAAATAATTGAGTAAAAAGTATACAATAAAATGTTTACTAAGAAGGAAATAAATATGTGAAAATAGAACAAAAAAATTACTGTATAAAATGGTATAGTAAAAGTTGTTTTATGAAAAATTAAACAAATAAAATAATAAAAAAATATAATAAAAAAAAATAAATAAAAATGAAATAAAAAAATAAATAAATAAAAATTAAAAAGAAAGAAATTAAATTTAAAAAAAAAATTGAATAGAAAAAATTTTAAATAAAGATATTAAAAATTATAAATAAAAAGTTAAAAAATGCAGTAAAATGTTATTAATTTTACATGACAATACATGAGCGTATCTGTATGAAATCCTTAAGATTTTGTATTAACTTGTTTATGTACATATTATATAATACATATGTAGGAGGTACACTGTTATTAATATTCCCAAATTTCTTAAAAACGTATGTTCATTTTTTATGGTCACTCTACAATACTTTTTCTTCTCTTCTCTTCACATTTCAGCTGTTCTATAACGGACTTCAAAAATTAAAGCAAAACTCATAAATTCGGAAGAGGAAAATCAGCAAAGCAGAAGGAATTTTTATTCTTAAAAAATATATATCTTAAATTAATATAACAACAAAATGCCTACAATCAGACGTTGCTGCATCGTGGGTTGCCTTTCTAATTCACGTCAGAGCCCACAATTGCAATTCTTCCAATTTCCACGCCCTGAAAACCCATTCTACGGTCTCTGGAAGCAGGCATGCCATGCTTCGCTCAATCGCATTCTGCCCTTCAAAAAGCCAGTTGTATGTGCACTACACTTTCATCCAAATCTTATAGGCGGCCGCCGATTAACATCATCAGCTGTGCCATCGCTACGCCTAGATGTACCCAATGATTTGAAAGCTGTCGAACAGCAAGCAATGGTTGAGGAAATAGAGAGAAGCCGTAAATGTGCATACATCAATGCAGTTGTTTATGAATGGTTAGTACGTGCCAACTTGAATCCACAACTTCGTGGTTCCATAACACACGGCATGATTAAAGAAAAAGCCGCTACAGCAGGACAACTCGTGGGTTCAACCTCATTTGTCGCTGACAATCGTTGGCTGAATAGATTCCGTGAGACACATTTAAGCGGCTTTGCACAAAAATTGGCTAGCAATCAATTGAAACCACTCGGCGTATCCTTATGGATTCCCGATATTGTACAAGATTTGCAGCATCTCTTTCCGCCAACTAGTGCTGAACGTGTAGCGAAATTAGAAAGCCTGCCTGAACAGTATATGGACTATATGCAACAGTATGGCGAATATGAAGAGGACGATGATCAGGATTCACAGGGTGCATCCCTAAAGGACCAACAACAGAGCCATGCTGGATATGACGCATATGGCCAACCAATACCAAATTACAATGGCGGTTATGACAGCTATGAGGGATACTACGATCAACGTCAAAACCAACATAGTAATTATAGTTCTCCACAACCCCAACGTCCTGCCTCGAATTCGCCACCACTCCAACAACTACAAAAATTAGCCTCTCCAGCATATCGTGCCAGCCCAATACTACAACCGCCTGCAAAACGACCTCGGTCCAACGACGGTGAGGTCAGCGAAATAACGGCAACAAATGGTAATACCGTAACCGATTTGACTAGCGATTGCGAAGTAAACGATTGTGATGTTAAGCCAATTAAACTTAATGGTACAGCAACACCAACATCAAATGGTACTAATGGCCACACACCAGCAGCTTCGCCTAAACCCACAATGAATGGTACTACAAATGGTAATAGTGGTAGTACAAATGGTAATACAAATGGTATTACCAAAAATGCGGATATCGAGCTCTCATCCTACACGCAGGCGCTCGAACACCTTAAACCTTTGGAGGAGTTTGCACTTTCAAGAGAGAATTTCCGCGCAATCGGCTTAATATCACAACTGGAGGTGATATTACGAAAAGGTGAAAATAAACATTTGGCAGCGGTGCTGAAATAAGCGATAGGAGGAATTATAAGCTAATTTGTAATATGTTGATGTGATTTAGGTTTTGTAAATAATTTTTAAAACTATTTAGTATTACTAGAGAATATATGAATAATTTAATAATTAATTGAATAATTTTTTGCTTTTACAAGAACATTAATATCTAAACTATAGAAATACATGTATATAAAATGTAAGGATACTTTATTCAATCCATAACTAAAACTACTGCATAGCAAACAATGCCGACGTTAAGGTATTTTATTTATTACACAAATAAAAAATATATTCAATTCATAAGACCCAAAAGGTTTTTTTTCTTGTTCATTAATTTTATGTATTTCATCTAAACTTGAAAATATTGCAAAGAAAAATAATTGAATTACATGTGGAATTATTATTATTTTTTTATTTTGTAATCCCTTAAAACAAATATATAATTCTTTTCCGAAGTACCGGATAAAAAAATAATAATCCAAAATTCGGAAAAAATTACACCCAGAATATAAGAAAGAATTAATAAAAGAAATTGTTTTAGAATTTACATTTTGTCGTGCTTGTGTTCTTCGTGTTATCCAACTTTGAACTAAAGGTGGCATTGAGCCATCACATATTTACTTCTCTAAAGCACTTGTCTGCAAACTTACACATTCAAATGATTAATATTTTATCAACTTTAAATTTATTTTGAAAATCTAATGTTTACCCCAACATCGGAATTAAAAAATAGGCATCCATTAATATCATCTATTAGCCGTGATTGTCGGGTCTAGGTCACCAGCCAATAAACAAAAACATATTAAGAAACTTTTGGGAAAATAAAATTAATTGCCTCTGCAACTAAAGCAGTAAAAAAATAATATTCGAACAGTAAATAATTTATGCAACTTCATACCTACCCGTGCACATTAGTAAATTATTTAATTAAATATTAAAATTTGAAATGAAATGAAAAGTGCTACGTACTGTGCATGCTTATCAGGCAGATAATGCAACATTTTTGTAAGCGTGTATTGAAATCAATTAAGTAATTTGAGATTTCCACAATCATTCGTCAACATCTCTTCTTTGGTTGTGCCAACATTGTATAGCATCTTTCACAAAACTTTCCAGCCTCTACGTCTTCTTGAGCTTGAGAAACAGCTTTGAGCAATTCTGTTTTAATCGTTTGGCGGTCTTCGAGTTTCAATTTCCGCGTCTCTTCAAACATTCTTTCAAAGAAATCCTTTAGTTCTAAATTGCTATGAACATCGACGTTTTTCATTGGATTTAGATGACAAGCGCATTTACTCGTCTCTTCGCTGAAGTTTGTTAGTATTTTTGCATTTGGAGTTTTGTTTATTTTTAACGAAGCCACTTTTCTTCTGCTCGATGCTTTCTGTAGTAAACTTGATGTTCCGGGTATTTCCACAAAATATGGTGTTTTAGGGATTAATCGTTTGGTTTTTATGCCATTTGTAGTAGAAATGTTTGATATTGTTGTATTTTGCATTCGAATTTTTGAATTTTCAGAATGTGGAAGTTGTAGATGTTGTGTAACTGCAATTTCAGATGCATCATTTTTTGTATGTTTGTCAGAATCAGTATTAAGTTGATTTACATTCAGTACTACCGGATTTCTTTCATTTATTTCGTATAGCATGAGATTATAAGCTACTTCTGGATTCTTGTCCTCAGCGATCTCTTCAGACTTAACGTAAAGAAATTCTTGACCTTTATCATATGTCAATTGGCCAACCTTCGAGTTTAGCTGCGTTAAGTAGATGTCATCGTTGTATTCTAATGGCTCACTTTTTACTACAGCCGTTGAATGAAAGTTGCTGGTTTCACTTAAAGAACTGTTCTTCGGGAAACACACATCCACAGGATTTACATGCGTTATAGGAATGTCATATTCGGATTGACTATTTACTACAACCTTTGGTTGAGCGTTACATATTTTAATTCTATTTTCTGCCAAAAAAGCAAATAATTAGAACTTAACAATTTGCAATATTTTACTATTGGTTCTTGTAATACTATACTTTTAATCTTTAATTTTACATATCATATTTTATACATATATACCTTGTTTTGAATCCAGACAATTAAACCTTAGCTCATTTTCATGCTTTCGTCTCCGGCGTCTACGCTTCGCACTCCTAGCATTCACAAATTTAGGCATATCGAATCAAATTGTATACCCTGTTGATAGTAATTAAGATGTGTTAACTCAAAATATAAAAATATAATAATTATAACTTACTGCGAACAGAGAAAAACGTATTTTTTGGAAGTTATTATGTACATACCACAGTATTTATGTTGTAGATTTTGTATCAACTAAAAACAGATGAACATGTGGCGATGCCACATCAAAGTTTTTGGTTAGGGACACTTTGACTTAATTGGTAATTCAGTGAGTCTGTGATTGTTTCACGTACAGCTCCAATATAATGTATTTAAAAATAATACAGGTATCAACAAATACAGTGTTAAATATTTCTAAACTTCTTCAAAAACATCATATTCGAGTTTCACATCCGCAAAAAACTCTTTCTGGCGTTGCCATTTTGTAAGTTTAGTTTTCATTCCAATTATCTCAGAGATGCAAGAGCAAAATTTGTTCTTCCTCGGCTATCACTTTAATGCTCTTTTATGAATTATGGATAAACAAAATTCATTGGATTAAAAAAACTGAGAAAATAATGCACAAATAGTATCCCTTAAAAATTTAATTTGTCCTTAATGTATCTATAATTTTCAGTAATTTCATATTATTGGTAAATACAAAAATGCGATTATAAATTTATTGCAATATTTCCAATAAATTTAAAATTCCAAATTCGAGATAGATATCAACTGATGTTTAACTTTGTTTTTTCGTCTGAAGTGTTTTAATTCTGATTATTAAAACATTACTTAAGCTGGGTAACTTCACCGATAGATATCTAAATCGTCTTCTTTAATTATCGATATATGCGGCACAAATTTGAATCGAGGAAATAAGAGTTGCCAGTTTAGTAACAAAAAATTATATAATCATTAAAATTAGAAAAAGCTGTAATACCCTTCTAAATACAGAGCTGGATTTTAATAGGTCAGCTTGTGTGGCAATTACTGCAAAAGCGGTCCGATCAAGCAATTTCTTCGAAGGTGGCCCATGAAAAAATAATTTTTGAAATTGGATTTTTGCCAATCACTTTGTATACCAGCTATATGCATATTGATCCCTTCTGAAAAAAAGTCTGAGACACTGCCCTTACCTTGGGCAGTAAATTTAGATAGAATTCCCAAATTTCGTGACAATATCAAGTCAAATTATTATATTTTTCCATACAAAGGTCTAATCCTGATTGTTCAGTTTGAATGGCATATATATGCTATAGTAGTTCGATAATAACATTTCCGACAAATGAAAAGCTTTTTGAAGAGAAAGGGACGTGTGCAAAATTTCAGATTGGTATTTAAAAAATGAGGAAATATTTCGTGTATATACAAATGGACAGACCGACAGACATGGCTATATCGACTCAGCTCGGCACGCTGATGATATTTATGTGATCTCCGATACTTTCTTCTGTTTGTTAGAAACTTCGTGTCAAACTTCATATACCTTGTTCAATGTATGCAAAATAGATTGTATGAACATGATAGTTGTTGTAACAAGGGTTAAGGATTGACCTTTTTAAAATATAATGTTATCCTTTCTAACATTACTTAAAGCCATGATATGTCACTGATAATAGAAAAATTTAATCAGTGATTCTGTGAGCAATATAACAATATCGCTTTCAAAACATGACCTTTCTTATCAGGCGCTCAACCCAAAGCATGTGCTCTCATTTGAGTATTAGAGAGATTAACACTTATTTTCGATCAATTTCAATGGTTATGAAGAGAACATAGGCGTTAACTTCCAAACTGAAGATGATACCTGAGATACATTTTATCTGAAAATCTGCTATTTATATTACTTTATACATATTTACTTAAAAGTTAAAATCAAAGCTATTTCTGTATTTAAAATATTTAAAAGGTTGTATGTTTATCTTATCAAATTGTAAGCATTAGAGAGTAAGAGTAAATCATATACATATATCTTCTCTTCATTTGACTCTTAAGAAATGACATTTTGAGCGCAAAGGCACATGGTTAGGGTTGGCGCCAAAGGGGTGGTGTATATTATATGCATAAATACACGCATACAAGCGCTGGGATCGATCTCATCGTGGAGAGTGGCCACGACGGTTTCCGACAAACTGCGACGTCGACTGTTATGAATGTGTTTATGTATGTATGTATTCTGAGCATTATTCAATCGTGTGTGTATTTATTATATTTTTTAGTAGAAGTCGGCGATAAGATTTGCTTGACATGCGCAATTGCAACTTTGGGTGCTTTATTTAGTACGCAATTATGTACGTATGTATGTATGTATGTACGTCATCTCGTTACGTTGCTTTTCTAGGCGCACGAATGAATACAATCCAAATTGTGTGAGAATTATTTTATTTTTTGTTTATTACAGAACTAATTTGAGATTTAATTGTTTAGGTCAATTGTTTAGGCGCTACTACTCCTATTGAATGACTCTTTATAAAAATAGTGCTAATTCATACAAGCTTTGTCAAGTATACTCGTACCGAACCAATTGTACAACTGTCGATATATGTATGTATGTATGTATGTACATACTTGTATGTATGCATGCATGAATTTTGAAGTATGTATGTGTGTACATATGCATGTAGCTATGATCATCAATTTGATCGTGAAGTAATTTTGGTGGAATTAAATATTTATGTATACCCGGAACGGGATATATTAAGTTTGTCACGAAGTTTGTAACACCCAGAGGTGTATAAAAAGTATATACTATATAAATGATCGGTATGTCGAGCTGAGTCGATTTAGCCATGTCCGTCTGTCTGTATATGTACGAACTAGTCTCTCAGTTTTTAAGATATCGTTTTGAAATTTTGCAAACGTCATTTTCTCTTCAAGAAGCTGCTCATTTGTCGGAACTGCCGATATTGGACCACTATAACATATAGCTGCCATACAAACTGAACGGTCGGAATGAAGTTCTTGTATGGAAAACTTTCACATTTGACAAGATATATTCACGAAATTTGGTATATATTATTTTTTTGAGGCAACAATATAATCTCTGAAGAAATTGTTCAGATCGGATTACTGTAGCATATAGCTGCCATACAAACTGAACGATTGGAATCAAGTTCTTGTAGGGAAACTTTCACATTTGACAAGATGTATTCACAAAATTTGGTATAGATAATTTCCTGAGCCAGCAATGTAATCTCCGAAGAAATTGTTTAGATCGGTTAACTATAGCACATAGCTGCCATACAAACTGAACAATCGGAATCAAGTTCATGTATGGAAAACTTTCATATTTGACGTGGTATCTTCACGAAATTTTAAATGGATTACTGCTTAAGGTAATAATATAATCTCCGAAAAAAATTTTCAGACTGGATTACTATAGTATATAGCTTCCATACAAACTGAACACATAATTACTAACAGAAATGCACCTGTGAAAGGTATTTAGCTTCGGTGCAACTGAAGTTAACGTTTTTTCTTGTTTCTATTGATATTAAAATAATGCATTTAATTCTTTAGAACGGCTATAGGATCATGGGAATACAAAACAAAATAAAATTTTTCGAAATCATTCACTGATTATTAAAGTGCATCAAACTCTCTAAATGTATACATGCAGCGAAATTCTTCATAACCGCAGACGTACAGACGCAGCGTTGGCAAAGACTCGGAACCATATTTCTATGGAACTAATAATTGCGAGACTAAGTCAACCTGGAAGAAATCACAATTATTCCATTAGTTTGCGTTAAACTACCTCGAACCAGCGCAATACAATCTGTCCAGTTAAGGGAAATAAGGATGAGGACTGTCCGTAATAGAGAATTTCACTGTATGTTTATTGATTTTAATGAAAAATCACTTAAAACACTAAAAATGGATTTAATTATTTGAATGGTCAACCGCATTTACAGCACACTATAGGGCTTTAAAATGGGATTGAAAACCAGATCTGTACTGTAAATCTTCAAATATTGATAGCACCTCCTCGATACGGTTTTAATAACACAAGAATATTCTTTGTGAAATGATTAAGGTTACTTTATCGGTACAGCTATTCTATGGCTACGTGCTTTTTTATCATTTCAAGCTGGTAACCTCGTGTCACCACTGCTTTTCTTATACACAAAAGACTCAATTTTTATCTTGATCTTGATCGTTTTGTATGGTAGCTATATAAGTGATAAAGTGGTGTGATTTGATATTTATGTTCGGAGATTGTAGTGTTGCTTTGAATACTAACCTCGTCAAATCAAAAAACAAACTTTTTCAAAAATGGACTTCATTTTCATCGATCCGTTTTTATGGTGCAGTTCTTGGGGAGAAAAGAACATTTGGGAAATTTCAGATCGATATCTCAAAAAATTTGGAATTAGTAGGATAAAGAGAATTTATCTAAAGATTTGTTTTTGTAATCAAATTTCGTGTGCGGAATGGTTTCGAATGGCGATTCAATTCATTTAAAACAGTTTCATTAAAAACAGAAGCCTACAAGTAGTACAAAGCCTTCAAAAAACGGTCGAGAGGTCGTTGAAGACATGTCTCGTTCTGGAAAACCTTCGACCTCTTCAACTAATGAAAATATTAAAACTGATGGTATAGTGCTTGAAAATCGTCAGGCCAGTGTTAGAGAAATGACAAGAGAGTTTGACATTTCCTTCGAGTCCGTTCGAATGATTTTGATGGATATTTTGAGTATGAAGCACGTTATTCCTCGACTCGTTCCCATAAAGCTGTTTTTTTTTTTTTTTAAGATTGTGACTGAATTTAAAGTCAAAAACGCAACCATCGATCAACCACCGTATTCAGCAGATTTGGTTCCGTGTGATATTTTCTTGTTCCGCAAACTGAAATTGCCGCTCAGTGGAATCTGTTTTTAGTCGATCCAAGGGGTAAAACAAAATTCACTGAAGGAGTTGAAGGCCATATGGTTTTTATGAAAAGTGTTTCGAGGGCTGGAATCAACGTTGGTGTAAGTGTATTACATCAGGTGGGGATTACTTTGAAGGCGACAAAATAAATATTGATAGATAATTAAATACTTTGTGTTTTATTTACTATTTCTGGTTATTTTTTGTAATTTTTATGATCCAACTGAATTAGAAGACACCGCATTACAAAGGTTAAGGTCGAAACACAATGTGCTACAACGATATACCAAACGGGCTAATTAAAAATCAGCGATCGCGAATTGACTTTTGAACTGTGTCAGCAAATTTTTTATTGGATTCATACTGAATACAGACATCAGCAATGATATTTATTATATGTATATGTATGTACTTGTAATATTTACATAAGCATTCATATGTATATATTGTACGTACATACATACATACATATGTTGTATTTGGATTGAAGGGCGAATGGGTTATTCAATAAACCAGCGATCGACTGTATAGACTCTATTTGTACTTATGTACATACATACATACATATGTTGTATTTGGATTGAAGGGCGAATGGGTTATTCAATAAACCAGCGATCGACTGTATAGACTCTATTTGTACTTATGTACATACATACATACATATACATATATATATAGTATAAAGTGTATTTCAGGATAATTTTCTATTAATTAATACTATTTATTTATTTTTTATTTAATGAAAGTTAAAGAGTGTAAGCTTCACTATGCAATAATAATGCACAGTATTTGTTGTGAGAATTTTTAATACTTAAACTACGTATATGTGTATGTATGTACATATATTTATAAGGTTTCGATGGAAATAAAATTAATTAAGTAAATATATTTGAACTTTCTTTTGATAAGTTCGAAGGTATTAATAATTGATAATACAAAAGACAAATGCCACAGCATCTGTTAAACAAATAATACAAAGCTCTAAATATACGTACATACATACATGTATGTATATACTAAATGCGCGTACTCGCATTAAATAAATAAAAGTTAAACGCCGGCGCTCTTTCCAACCAAAATAAAACCGAAAGCAGCGCTAATTTTATAATTTTCACAATTATCACAGAAGCACATGAGCGGCCAGTAGCTGAGCTGTTCAGAACGATGACGGCTATGGAGAGCGCGACGGTGAGAAATGTGCTGCAGATGCGCACGAAAGCAAAATTTCCAAATCCCAAACGAAAGCGAAATTGAACACATAGAACAAAGAAACAGCAAACAGCAAGCACCCAAAGTCATGCTGAATAAACTTCAATAACACACTCTGGTACATAAGCATATACATACAGGTGTACTTTATGTGTAGTGCCACGCAAAGAGCAAGCGCAAAGAGACGACCAACGCGGCTATTGCACGGCAAATGTTCTCGCGCTCTCCGCATGGCCCGGCGCAGTCACATGCGTGTGTGTGTTGGTTAGAACACTAGTACGATAGACGACGACTCAGCGGCGCTGACTCGACTCGACTCGTTGACATATGTATGTACATATGTGTTGGTTGGCTGGCTGGCTGGCCTGACTGGCTGTTTGGTTTGCTGGTTGCTTCCGCTTCAAGACAAACGCCACGTTCTAGTTGGGACACCGCGCTCTGGCAATCTGGTTGAAAAAGTTCTACACCGTACGTTTTACGCGGATAATACGAGTTGTATGCGTTCGCGAAGAGCCACAGAACAACGAACGCCCGCCCGCCCATCACCAGGCAGCACAGCACAGCCGTCATCTGTGAAAACAAAGCAAAATACAGCAATTTGTGGGAACGTCTACGAAGCAAATAATACACACGTTTTGTACACACTACGTGTGTATGTTTGCGTGTTTATGGGCATACGCAGCGTAGAAGGGAGGAAGGCACACTTGGAATCGCATTTTAAGCGCATTGTGTTCTGTCATATCGCTTTGGATTTGGTAGATAGAAGTGCATTTATCCATAAATTCGCAGCATATTAAGCAAGTGCATTGACGTGTGTTTATATGTATGTATATATTTGTGTGAGTGTGTGTGTGTGTCTGTCTGTGATTGCGTGCTATGGAAGAAAGAAAAATAAACTGAATTTGCATATTACAGAAGTGCGGCGACCAATTGTGCATGCAATTGCACGACGAAGCAGCGCAACGGCAACAACCACATAGACAACAACAATAATAATCACAATAACAACAACAACAATATCATCAGCAGCGGCAGTCGCAGCAACCAAAACGATAACGTTGCAAAAGTACACACGGTGTTATAATACAATCAGCCACGACGACGTCTACAACGGTGTCAGCCGCTCCGGCGTTCGCATCGGATACGCCGAAGCAACAACAAAATTCGAGACGTCGTCGTCGAACAGTCGAACCGCCGTTATTTAGTGCCATCAACACGACGACGACCACGACTAGTCGCGTCGGTCGACGCGTGCGCCTGCCCGTGCACCTCGCTTCATCGGTGACGTCGAGCGCGGCTATAAGGGCGGCTACGGTATCCTCCGCGCTGGGTCCGAAGAAATTGCGAAGTTTGCGAAATTTGTTGTCGCGCGGCAAGCGAAAACCTATCCGTGTGCGCAGCACTAGCGGCGGCAGCAGTGCTCAACAACAGCAGCAGCAGCGACCACAGCAACAACAACCGATTGTTGCGGAGCAGCAGCACCAGCAAGTTCATAATAATATCAATAGGCATAACACCCACAATAGCATTGACGGCAATTGTAAAAGCAGCAACAACAACAACAACACAAACACAATTCAACACAACGAAATCGCGTTGAAAGTGAAGGAGCGCGAAAAAGTGGCCGAAAAGCATGCCATTGCAGCCGAGGAGTTGGATGACAGTGACGACGACGCTAATGAAGATGGCGCCGATGGCTATAAGTCTGAGAATGTAAGTGAATAAAGCGTTTCATTTGTAATGTACTTATGTATGAGTTTAGAAGTCCGCCTGGATACATTGACACCGTCGAAGTTCGGCATCTTATTCGGTTTCAGTTTCATTAAGATACATAATTATATACTATGTCTTTCTTGATATAGACGATCTTTCAACATGACAATCGGGTCAATGCAAGTGTCATATAATCGGATTTTTATGTGACCTAGGGCTGCCTACTTTGCTGCATTCTTCAAAATTATTTTGGGAATGTGTCTTCTAATGCTACAACCGCGATCAGCCATTATACTATATATTATACATATATTGTCCTAGTTAGGGGTTAGGCAAAGCTATGCTTATTTCAAGCATGTTCTTCTTTATCAGTAAGACAGAGGCTTCAAGGGTCTTTTCGACGTCTTTCTGCTAGTGATATTTAGAATAGAGTCAAACTGCAATAGGCTAGGTAATTATCCGATTCTTCTCTCAACCTTAGAATTATTGTTCAGATGCTACTAAGAAATTCAGCAGTTTTAATGACTACCGTTATGTGAGAGGTGCTCCTGGCTTTCCTCAGATTTGATCTATACATACTTTTTCTTCTTTTTATTAACTCGCGGTTATAGGCGAGTTTACAACAGCGCGCCAATCGTTCTTTCTTTTTGCTGCTGGGCGCCAATTGGAGATTCCGAGATAAAGCAGGTCCTTTTCCACCAGGTCTTTCTAATGGAGTGGAGATCTTGGTCTTCCTCTGCTTCTCTCTGCGAGTACTGCGTCGAATACTTTCATAGCTGGAGTGTTTCCGATCAAAAACGATATAAGATCGTCGATATAACGGCGTTTAGCCCAATAAAATCCGAGTCAATTCCAGAGTGTTAACTTGCTTTGGGGACCCCGCATGACTATAACCACAATTTTTCTATGGCTCGACCACTCCGAATCAGTATGTTTCTTGCACATACCGTTAGAATACTTTGACGCCTTGCCACCCGAATAAACTATATTTTTTTCACCTTTCATTAAGTGATTCGTAAAATCTGCAACATTAAATGAGGCGTGTCAGCCAAAAATCTTTATATGCATTTAATGACGTAATATATTTACGAGTATACTATATACTTTATGGTATACAGTATAGAATATACAATCATGATCATGCCACCAGCTACCATACATATACATACATTCTACTTTTCTGTACTTCAATCACTTTTCACGAATGACTAATTCTTCACACACACTCACTTACTGTTCTCTCTTCTGCTTTATAGAACCCCCCAACAGCGTTGGCACAGCCGTTCCACGAGAAAATGCTCTACGACACACGAATACGTCGAAAAAATGTATTGGCGCTCAACGAGAAAGTGGCCGCGATACGCGAGTACGAAAAGTCGCCGGTGTACAAGCGTATCGGACGCATGTTTCACTGCAGTCCCGACCAGATCAAGCGCATAGTACAGCAGAAAGACAGCATACTCGAGGCTTGGGAGCAGCGTACGCGTCGCTGTCACGACGCAAAAACGCTCGAAATGAAAGTGGTGCGCGTGTCGATGCTGGGCAAAGCGGTTTTCGATTGGCTACGTCGCATGATCTACTATCAGGATATACAGATAACGGATGGGCTCATACAGAAGACGGCGCTGCAATTTAAAAGCGCTATGGGTCTACAGAATTTCTTTCCGCATCAGGATTGGTGTGATAAATTTCGACAGACATACAAAATCCATACGATCGACAGTAAACTACTGAATATTGGCTATACACAAGGCTATTCTGTGCAAATAAAAGATGTCATGAAGGACGTGCTCAACGAGTGTACACCGGATGCGGGCAGCAAGACGCAACCGATCGATGACGACGACAATGACGATGAAGTGGAAGAGATTAAGGAGGAGTGTGACAATACGGAAAATACGAAAGCACACGAAGGTGATGCGGAGCAGGAAGCAAAGCGTAGACGACTGAAGGCAACAGGCAACCTTCAAAGCGCTAAAAGCAATGTTGCAGGCAACATGCCACAGCCAACGGGTAGCACACTAAATGCAACTGGCAATCCAATTGTAAAACGCATAAATATCACCAACCCCAACGGGAATATGTCGAATAATCAATTAGCTGCCAATTTGCAAAAGAAGAACACAGCGTCACCAGCCATGCACAACCTAGCAGCACCGCAATTGGCACCATTCCGTCAACTGGTCGCATTGCCATTACAAGGCAATGTCGCCGGCATGCCGCAAAAAGTGCTGGTGGCTACACCCATAACGCCGGCCGGTCAAATGCCTGGCGGCAAGTCAATGACCATGACAATCATACCGCTGGCGACTATAGCACAATCGCAGAGCATGCAAGCCGGTTCGGCCACAGCTGCGGCAACTGCAACCGCTGCAGCGACTGCTACACCGACTGCACTAACTGCAGCGCTGGCAACAACAACCGCTACAGCCGCCACACCGGTGTCGGATGCCGAGAAATCCAATGTGCCGCCACCGATGCTGGATATTAAAAAGGAAATCAAGCAGGAGCCGCAGGAGCCCGTTGAAATCAAACAGGAATATATTTCAGACGCGGAGGATGAGGAGCCAACGGAGCAGGAGCACCAACAACCCACTGAAGTTACTGTGAAAACAAACACTGCGCTGCAAGCGAATGCCATTAACAATAATATCACGCCATTTACACCGGAAGGTGATACGTGCTCCAGTGGTAGCATGGATCTTGAGGAGCGTGTTCGCGCGCCAGAAACCGCCGATGATGACAATATAGCTTTAGCCAATTTGCGGCGACTCATACAGACGCAAGGTAAACTTGTTGCAACTTCAACGCCATCCGCAACCGGTGTACGTCCTACCGTCTCGTCGGCCGTGCCGCCTTTAGCACCGAAACCCATTTTATTACCCGCTCCGTTAAACCCCAGCACATCGGGCACGACTGAGCGTCAGAACTTGCCAACATCGACGACTGCCATTACTTGCATACCCGCCGCCAATATATCCGCCATGAGTAGATCGCTATGTTTTACGCCGCCCTTGCCGCCTTTGACGAAGGCACCGGATGCCGTTATAAATCGCTTGGCGAATAAACGCAAACACGCCACAAACAATATGCCACTGCTGCCGCCCATTAAATCCTGTTCGGAGGCTCGTAAATATCTAAAACTCTTAGAAGACTTTGCGCTGGTTAAAGAGAACTTTAGACTGATCGGCCTGATCACGCGTGCCGACGAAGTTCTGCGCGAGCTTGATGGGGACGACGACGTGGATGTGGATTGAGTTGTTGTTTACAAACAAACTTCTAGTTTAAAATTAATACATACTCGTACATGCACATCTGTTGTATCTATGTGTATACATGCGTAGAATGTAAGAGTATAGCTTTTTCTATGAATACCAAAGCCGGTAATTGTTACCATAGTTTGTAAGTGAAGTGGGAAAACTTATGTACATACATGCATACATACATACTCGTGTGAGTACGTGCATATGTATGCAGCCTATATACAAATCAATTTTTTCACATACTATATAGAGGTTTATATACATAAACACATATTTCTAAGTAGAAGAGCACTAGGGACACATCTATGTATGTATATAGTTACTATATTGCATACATACATACTCCTTCTGTATTGGAGTTACACAATTTTGTTTATGTTTATTTTACATGAAATATTTTATTTTTCAAGTGAATATCAAACTGTATTTAATTTTTTTTTCACATACTTACTTATATTTGTACGTCAACAATACGTTACATAAGTATGTGCATAAATTTTTTAGAGAAGCTACCAATTAATTAAAAGTTGAATAAAACGGAATTTGAAAAGAAAATTGCTTATTGTATTTAGTGGAAAAAGGAAAAAGGAAACTAATGTAAAAATCCCTAATGAATCATTAAATAATGTAAAATGTATGGATCAGAGCAGAGATCAGATTAGCAGAGCTTTACGCCAAATTCAACTTTTTTAAATAAAAAATCAATTAATTCACAATAATAATATAAAAGAAAGCTTTAACAATTAGTATTTCGTCGAATGACCGTTGTTGAATAATACTGCGCATCGCCTAGGCATGGATTCCACAAAACGCTTGCATTTCTCGAGAGGAATGGCCTTCCACGCCTTCTTGCCTAGTTGCTTCGTATTTGACGAATTCTCTTTCCCTACAGCTTCTTTGACCTCTGCCCGAAGATGCTAATTGGATTAAGGTCCGGTAGCTGAGCCGGCCAACCTCTAACCTCAACTTCGTTTAGAGCAAAAGAATTTTTTGCCAACCTGCTGGTATATTTGGGGTCGTTATTTGGTTGATAAATCCATTTCAACGACATTTTCCATACTGGCCTTCGTACATACTGTCGGCGTCGTCGGGAACCAAATGAAACAATTTTTGTTTCATCGGACCACAATATGTTGCGCCATTTTTCGCCTGACAAATGCAGGTGCTCTTCAAGTCAATGGTATTATTCAATTATTAAATCTCCAAAATCGAAATATTTGCTTTTTTTGATTTTCGAAGTTTAGCTAATAAAAAACAACATTATTTGTTTCGGATAAGGCAAAAGAACAGCTGGCACGATGAAGATTGTCGTGTCGTTGTGGATAGAAAACAAACTACCTACCTTTCAACGTTCGACCACAACACCTGCGGGATGGGATGAGATACCGAAAGTTGAAGAGGAAGGTGTGATTAACCGAAGGTTTCAAGATCAGGGCGTACTGAAATTATGGAGGGATCAGTGTGACTTTAGACTTGGAAAATCAACCACTGACCAGATACTCACCATGCGGCAAATCTTGGAAAATACCCGTGAAAAGAGAATCGACACACACTACCTCTTCGTCGATTTCAAAGCTGCTTTTGACAGGACGAAAAATATCTGTTTTTAAGCCGCAATGTCCGAATTTGGTATGCCCGCAAAACTCATACGGCTGTGTAAACTGGCGATGAGTCATACCAAAAGCTCCGCCAGGATCGGGAACGACCTCTCCGATATTGATATCATCGGCCTCAACACCCGCGCCGTTAGTTCTGCTTTCTCCAGACTGGACAAGGAAGCAAAGCAAACGAACGAGGGCAAGACGAAAAGTTTTTTTGATATCAGCTTATTTTCCCTCAAGAAGTTGCTCATTTGTCAGAACCGTCGATGTCGGACCTATGCAGCACATACTGCCACACAAACAGACCGATCAAAAAAGAGAAAGTGAGGAAAGTAAAAATTTATGGAAAAAATGTTTTATTTAACAAAATGCCAACATAAAATTAGCATAGATTTTTGTTCAAGACAGAGCTACAATCTCCAAACAAATTGTTCAGATCGCATCTACAAAATTTAGACAAATAATTAAAATTTATTCTCGTTTTGCTACAAAAATGCATGTTATAGCTTCGGTGCAGCCGAAATATTCGGGTTTGCACGTTTCTCAATAAATATGCTACTCTTTAGAACTTTACTCACGGACACACAAGCAGAAAATATAGCTCTAAAATCAATTACCTAAACAAACGTCCATTACACGTCTGTATGCTAAATATGTAATGTACATACATATATAATAAGTGCATATATAGGAATACGTGTGCACATCAGCAACATCTCCTACTAGCGTTGACCTGACCGCCAATGCGCATGTCTGCCTACTGAGTTAAAGCGTCTGCCAGCGATGACTAGTTCATTTACATACATACATACATTTGTATGTATATGAACAGTAAATTGCTTCGTAGATATATGTAAATATATGCACAGTACTATTACTATATAGTACATTTACATACGCAGTAATGCGCACATTCGCTCTCCCCGCCTTAAAGAACGCGCTCTCAGCGCTGCAATTGGCCTCTCAGCGTGGCGGCCATCGTGACTACATTGCATTATTGCAAAAAAGCTGGCAATTATATTTAGAACAAGCATGCAAACACGCCAAGCTGCGACCCAACTTTTGTGAGTCAATAAATGTTGTTTTTGTATTTGTATTTACTTATTACCTTTGTTACTGCGGCCACAATCGTGTCCAGCGCAGCAAATTGTAAAATTTTGTAAATTCATAAACGTGTCGGCGCTGATAAGAACCGCCAGCGATCCGTAGAAATTGTGAGATTACAGCGCGCTGCTAATTACGCTCAGGCGAAGAGCACATATAAGAGAGTTGGTTGGCGCTTTACAATGAAAAAAATACAAAATGCTTTTAGTACATATAGTAAACTTTAAATTTATTCAGCTGCGCTTAATCTTACACAAATTATATAATATTTCGGTTAATTGTGGCCTAATTAATTTGTATTTTTATTGTACATTAACTTATTATGCATCACTTAATCCACACTATAACTACAGAGAGAGTCTCAAACTAACATATTTACATACGCTTGTACGCTTAAATCTGCTTACATACATTTTTATTATAACTTCTTTATCATGTCAAATGTCTTAATTACGAATTATGAATGCGCCTTTGTGCTGCGTTACGTTTGGCGCCCTTCTCAAAGACGCGCGCCAATTGCATTAGCAAGTTTATGGCCTGAAAGTCCTCTTGCTGTGTCGCGAAGTCCTCTAAAGGGCACAAATTGCGCAATGCCTCCGCATAAGTGGTCACCGCGTCTGTTTTCAAACGCTTGCTATTTGACTCGACACTATTTGTTCTTGTGTTAGTTGTTGTTGTAGGTGAGTGCTTGCGTTTAACACCAGCAACACCACCACCACCACCCGCTGTCGTGGCGCTCGTGCTCGTGCCACTTGTCACGGTCAATGGCGATAGCAATGGCGGACTGCGGCTCCGACTGCGACTGCGTCGCTCCTGCTTAATCTGTACTTCGGCTAGCAAAGCGGGTTCCGCTGTTATTTCTGTGGGCGCCGCAGCCTCGTGACTTACGCTGGTACGTGGTAAATCGTATGTTGCTGTTTCCACAGTGTTGTTGGCGCCTGATGGCTCTAACTCAAAACCATTAAAGCCCTCATCATCGTTGTCGGGTGTGTCTAAATAAGTGCCGGAAAAATCGTCAATTTCATTCACCACAGGCACATCATCGTATTGCTCAGCGTACATCGAATCGGATGCGTTGTCATCGAAACTACCCTCAACACCAACACCAACATCAACGTCGCCACCACTACTGGCTGACTCATACTCCGCATCATCCGTATGGTAGAGTTGCGAACTCTCTTTCTTTGACAGCGGTTTGGGCATTTTACCTATCAGCGACTGTGCTTTCGACACCATACGCGTACAGTATTCGATCAAATCCTTGTTGTCTAGCGAACGCGGCGGTACACCGCATATAATTAGCGCGTCCAAATTTTGCCACTCCACATTGTAGACCTTCTTGAAATCGGCCAACCATGCCTTATTCGGATGAAACTGTTCGATCTGCAGGATGTCGCGTAGTTTGAGCGCACGCTGTCGCAAAGTCTCATCGTTGAGCGTCGCGCTGCGGTGGTAGTGGGCGCGTCGCACAAACTCGTATGTGACATTGCCGAGAAAGTTGATTTTCTTGTTGCGCGCATATTGTGGCGTGTCCTTGTGCGTCACAGTCTGACATTCGCCATAATAGCGCAGTATATCGTCGCGATTGGCGATTACATTGCGTACTTGCTCCCAACTGCACTTGAAGATCGAAGCCACACGCTGGTAGACTGGCTTCTCTTGGTACAGGCGTATGGCCAGCACGCGCTCCTCCAGATTGAGCACCTTGCGCGGCTTGTTCTTCATTGTGGCGCGTTCGCGTTCATAGCGTGTGGGCTGGAAGGTGGAAATTATTGGATATCAGTTAAATATTTAATGCTCATATATTGCATAGTGTGCGTGTTTAAATTGTATGAGTGTATGCTTTAAATGAAATTCTAGTGGCAAACTTTCAGTTGGTTCGAAAAATTAAAAAAAAAAGTTACGAAAACTAAAATTTTTGTGCTATTTATATAATTTTTTTCAAAAGCAAACAATTTTGAGTTATGCCATTTTCAGAAAATATTCGCTGTTAGTAATTTAATTTGTTTTTTTTTTTTTTAAAACACTCATAAATAACTCACTCAAAAAACTCAGCCGAAAGCCTATGATGCTAGCGCTGCGTACTTTAGTTTATTTAATAATTTGTTTATTATGTAAGCTTTAATAAAATAAAATATAAAAAAAAACTCACTCAATTTGTATGAAAGGTGCATATTTAAATTACCAGTATTTTCAGGGGTTAGGCCAGTCGAAGATTTTATAAAAATCAAGTTTTTTGCAATAAGCCTTAAAAGAAAGCTAGGCTTCTAAAAATATTATTCAAACTATTATAGAATTTTGTTCCCTCTCCAATCTAATGTAGCGTCCAGGTTTTAAAATTTCAAATTGCAGCTTCAATAGTTGGTATTCAGTCAAGATGGGTTTAACATGGGTTTACGACTTTTAAAAAATCGATTTGTTTTTATTGTTATTAAATATCAGTACTGTGTAAATACTGTGTTTTTGAAGTCGGTTGGCAAGATTTCTCGAGAACTACTCGAACAGATCCCCAAGAAAATTTTACACAGGTCTCTGACACACAATTCTTAAGGACTTGGATGAAGGATTTGAATAAAAATTACACGAAATTTTGACTGAAATTTTAATTCTTTTGTAAAAATGTATGCCAAAAATTCAATTTTCATTTTTTTTCTTCGCCCAAGTTCTAAGTTAAAGTTTTAACTAAAACATTTTTTCACTTTACATGATCCTGTAAGGAGTTGTCCCGCCAACGGGGGCGCATCTTCTTTCCGAGGCGTCAATGGAGATGTCGTCGCAATGGCCGAGTTAAAAATATTTTTCCAAAGTTTCAGAACTTCTTTGTTAATAATGTATGCATGCTTGTAACAATCAAAATTCTTATAAAATATTTAATTTTTTATGATAAAAAAATTGTTGGAAAAATGTTGTTTTATCTGAGGAAAGCCATGAACCCCTTGATGGAGCCTCAAAGAGAGAAATTCGACTTCTCCGTGTTCCCAGAATAATTTGGCAACATTCGACGTTTTCTCAGCGCTCTGGACTAGTCTAACCCCTTAAATGAGTATGTATTCAATTTGACCGGTATTTTAGAATACTGTATAATTTTTAAATATGCAGCAGTAATAATAGTTAGTAAACTTTTTAAGAAATCTTACAGTGTATTGATTATGGAAGACCGGTTTTGTTTGCTTAGAGGGCACCGATTTCTTCATTAACTTTCTGACAGGCATTTGTTCCTCAATTAATTTGTCAACATTATAACTTTTATTTTGTCTTTCCTTTAGAAAATATGTTCTTACAGCTGATGATTCTTCCATCTACAACAAAAAATTAAAAGTATAATGAAAAAAATGTTGATGAAACGAAAAATTTCAATGTAATGGGACTATGTACATGCGAATAAATATGTACATAATTTGTTTGATAATAACATATTTTATATAATATAGCATAAACTAACATAAATCTGATTAAGAGACTGCAAACAATCCAATAACACATCCCTATTTGACTCGTTTCAATATCAGCTGATTGTCCTAAAACTCGTCGTCCCACTCTGGGAAACATTAAGCTTGTCAACGGTAATTATTTTTTACTCAAGTTTTCACACTTTTTGCCCTTACGATACGTCGATATTTTGCAGATGATCTTTTGCTTTGATATTTTGCGAAAAGATTTCCCTTCACCATCAAATAATGAAAATTTTTTCGATCATCTTCGTTCAGATTTGTGCCACGTGACATTTTGCAAATAAATTTATAAATATGTACATATGTATGTCTGGTTGCTTTTTGTATATATAGGAAAATGGAAGTGATATCTTGCTCTGTTCCTTTCATAGTTTCCGAATATTCAATATTTTAGGCGAGTGCCAAATACAAATGACTCGGTATTAATTTTTTACGTTGGTGTTTTACTAACTATACTACCATTTACATAATTTTAGACCCTCATATACCGTCTATCAATTCCACTTTGGTACGAAGCCTGGACCACTGTTCTTATTTAATAGTTAGGTTATAATACTTTTATGAACTGAGATTTGAACTTTGAGATTTCAGCGTAAAGCTTATACAAATACCTGTATGTATGTATGTATGTATCGACTGTTTGAATAAGTACATACGATAATAATTTACGACCCAGAGCCTCAAAACAAACACCTCTTCAAGTAACTTCATGCTCATTGTATTAAAGCGATTAAATGCAATTACGAATGATTAAGAGAGAAATTAATACCGGCTCTGAGTACTTACATTTTTCATATCCTCTTTCCAAACTGTCAACCCATAGGCAGAAGGGCAGGTCCGCAATTGTACTTCTTCCAAACTCCAACACTCTAGCTAGAGCTCGTCTGTCTTTAAAAGAACAAAATCGAAATGAAATCAAATAAAGCCGACACAACAACAACACTAATAACAAAAACGACGTAAAAGTGCTCTCGCTACCTCCACAACTTTTCAAAGTGGAAATTTATTGCGAGTACACAAGCATACGCACATACATATACATATGTATATGTGCGTATGTGTGCTTACCGTCTGGTCGTCTGACGAGCGCAAAAGCAAATGCAAAGTCACAAACACGCGCGATAATAAAAAATATAAATGCAAAGCACACAACAATAACAACACAAGCTAAAAGCAAAAAACCGGCAAACTGTTGCAAAACCAGACCAAACACGTGAAATTTACAGGGAACCCGACGAGCGACTGAGTGTCATACACCAGAAAACAGACCGAACAAGCTCCACAACGCGAAACTCGTAGCACATAATAGATGTGTGGCGTCGTCACCGAAGAGCGGCACCAACACGTCGATAAAGCAAGGCCAGTGAAGTGTATAATGAAAGAGACAGCTGAGTGAGTCCAAGCCTCGGGTACAGAGCTCGACCGGGCGCACCAGCCAAGCGAACGACCGAACAAGCGTGCAAAAATACAAAATTATGGACGTAATCACAAAACAGAATTTCGCTATATATCGAGTGCGTTACGCAGTTGCTGCGTGAGATGTGGCCTCGTAGCCGTGTCTCTGGGCAACACCAAATATGCGGTCCCAATGCAAGCTTCGTCGGAACAACGCACATATGAGCAGGCATTCATATGCTGCTGCACATGTTTATTTCTACATACAAACATACATACATACATATGTGTATAAGCATGTGTTTAATTGCATATTCGGAATTTACATACCGTAAATCTAAGCGTTAGGCCTTCCCAGTTCAGACAGCAGCGCCTGTGTCATTTGAGGTCGCGCAAAACTAGCAAATGCTTTGCTATAATTGAAAAGTGCACATGCTATCCTGGTTATTCTTTGTGAGTTTCATTATGATAACTTCATCCCGCTAATAATTCCTTTTCTACCTCTCTTGTAAGGTTTCCGATTTGACACTTTTGTTTGTTGTTTTTGTTATTACTACGACGTCGACTGTTTGAAAATAACGCAATGTGTTAATAAACAAACCTGGATGGACTTGTATTAGCAGGGTGAAAACCAGGTAACCTTGGCTCTCAACTCTCTTTTCAACACGCGGCTCTGCTATACTCCCTACTTGTATATGCATATGTTTGTATAACACATATGACGAAACTGCGCTGCTTCCTCAAGCAGAGCCTTTCGAGTACTGCTCTCACTTCATAAATGTTCTTTGCTTTGTTTTGGATTAAGGTATTAAAAAGTATGTTAATAAACAATAAATGAGTTGCTAAAGATCCTGAAGAGCATAAAAATTCATTAAATAAAAAAAAAAACCTGTTGAATTAAGAAAACTTACTTTGGTGTAAAATAGTTACTTTAGATTTTGTGTTAATTAACACTGTCTAGTCCTGCCATTCGCGAAATGCTGTTTTGAAGGCCATTCAACGGTAGCGCATCAACGTACTGGCAGAGGGGCACAAAATTTGGGCATAAAATAATGAAATTGAAATATAGTTATTTATATAGACATACATACATATGTACATATGTATATACAAACATACATATATTATGTACATATTAATACGATTAAATGAATGTCATATTTGAAGATCTCAGCTACTCTAAACTCACCTAGGAGAGAGTTAATGTAAAATATACTATTTTGTGTTTTTTTTTAGTTCGTTCCCACGACAGAAAGGTCAAAGTAACCGGAACGGACTCAAATTTTGTCAACTTAGCAGCATTCCATGTCATAACTTCAGGAATGTTTTCTGCCGCTATTACAACAACAATAAGCACTATTTGGTGTATTTATGCTTAGGTGGAAGCTTTCGGCAAATATTTTTACATCGATAATCAAATTATTTATTTTGCTATTTAAGTTTAAGGTCGCTTAAAAAATAAAACAGAGCACATAAAACCCGATTATCACAGAAAAGATTCGAAAATCATCAAACTTTAAAAAAGCAAGCCTCAGCTTCCGTAAAAGTCCCTCGTTTTCGATTAGTAGAAATATAAAAACATACATTCAGTTTACAGAAACCTATTTTCGGTACTGCACACACTTCTAAACAAACATGTGTACACTTGTTAAGAGCAGCTAAGCAGCGCTGCTGACGCACATGAAAATAAAAACAGAGAACAGTAAAACGGAAAATCAAATCAAGCAATCGAAGAGCGGGAGAGTGAAAAAAATATGCTTGATTCAGTTGATGTCGAGCAATCAAGCCGACCGGACAAGCCAAGTAGTGTGATTGAAGTTACGTTTCGCTGCCGTTATCGGTGATTCACGGTGTTTTGAAATTGTTGCGTTGCCGTTTACATACATTCATACACAATTCCGGTGCAAGCAACAAAATGGCGAATGCCCGTCCGCATGCACACACAATTGATAAGCGCGCTTTTTGGACGGAGTTTTTTGCGCTATACGAGAGTTTGCCAGCGCTGTGGGACCTAAGTAATCCGTTGTATAAAGATCGACAGAGTAAGACACACGGCTATGAGATGTTGGTGATGAAAATGCGCGAAATTGATCCGCATGCATGCCGGGAAGATGTTTTGCGCAAAATCAACATATTTCGTACCAATTACCGACGTGAATGCACACGCATTAAAGCGAGCAATCAAATGGGCAAACGGTATAACACCTCACTCTGGTACTTTCACATGCTCGACTTTTTGCAGAGCCAAGAGTTTCGTAAAGAGCGAAAACGTGTGCCGAGTAGTGAGAAGAAAATCTTGGTAAGTTTGTGAGACATCTAAAAATATGTAATTTGTTTGCAGACATTTTAGATTTGTGAAATTATATGTATGTTTTTGTCATTTATGCATAGCAGCGGCGGATGGCGAGATCACATTCGGATATTGAGAAAGTAAGGTCGCAGCTTTTGGAATCACCACACACTTCACAAGACAGTTGCAGCGAATACAAAATGCAGCTTAACAAATACGAATATGCATCTGACAACGGTAACGAAACAGAGGAGCACTTAGAGGCAGTTCAGTATTTAGATGAGAATTCGTTTCAGCAGCAATTTCAAAATCAATTTCGTACACTTACATTTCCCAACCAAAAGCAACAGCATAACAACATAATAACAGCGCCAGATGATGATGACAGCAAAACGGTTGGAGATGCAGACACCGACGACTATCATGAAATTATCAACATTGATGATTCATCGCATACTGCGGACGATATGTTAGACGTAAAAACTGTTGAAGACTGTAGTAAGACTGTAACGGCTGAATCCATAGCATCTACGCCACCAGAACTGTCACAGCAACTGCTAACAACTAGACAAGTCAGAAAGACACCTTTAACTGGTATAATTAAAGAAGAGGCGAGAGGACGTGCGGTGCAATCATCTCGATCAGGTCTTGCTATTAGTGAATCTACAGAGATATTAGCCAAATCGTGGGCAATACAGTATGAAGAAATGTCCCAGGAGCAAAGAATTTATGCACGCAAAGCGATTGCTGAAATACTTTTTGAAGGTTGCCTTGGAAATTTAGGACGTCAACAAAATGTTAAAACAGATGTTAATGCTACGGAGCCTGTAGTTTCAACTCAATACGAAAAGGATGAGATTATGGAGGATAATGAGGGAGTTACAGAACATATAGCGGAGGAAACATTACTGCACATGGATGATGGCAATCCCACTTACGTATATGCAGTTGGTGGTGAACAAATGCAGCTACACGAATACATACATTGACTTGTATATAATGAAAAGGTCAAAAGTGAATTTTATGACTGGAGTTTAAACAAATTCTACCGCTATTTATTCCGAAAACGCGTCAATCTTCATCAATCAATCAGTGGATTTCCTCTTATTTACACATGACTGCGATGACAGACGTTTCTTCTTCTATCGTTTCGTTTGGGCGTGTTCAGTTGGCTCAAGTAATAGTTTAAGTGTGTTCCTTGTCTCATTTCTTTCTAGTTTAAATTTGTATAACATGCAAATATGCTTGAAAATAAAATTGAATATTTTACCTTTTTTATAAAATTACCAAAAATAATATTTGCTGTCCACATATCAAGTATAAATTACTTTTACCTTTTTTGGTTCAAATTCGTCTTGAAAACTAGCTGTGTTTAATAGGTCTTAAATAAACATCACAGATATGTTTACCGGCAGTGCATACTAAACAGCTGTAACGCCAAGCGTCAATTTGTTTACATCCAGCACAAATATTAAATAAAATATTACTACACTACTAATAATATCATCAATACAACATAATTGATTAAATAAATAATCTTTTATAATAAGTGCGGAATTTTTTTTTAATTTTCTTAACTTTGTTTATACCTAAACATGCCCTTAGAAAATAATCCACAAATATTATCTCTTATACAAGCAGTACGAAAGAATAAAGTCTTGTATGATACTCGACATGAAAACTACTTGGATGCAGACGAACATACGAACAGGATTTGGGAAGGTGTTGCGCTGGAATGTGGTTATGACAATGGTAATACATTTTACTTAACCACAAATCTCAGTATATGAATTCAATATATCATCAATTTCAGGTGCCGATGCGGAAAAAGCATGGAAAGATCTTAAAACTTATTTTATAACAAACTATCGCAATAAATTTATATCAAACGATCTTGAAAAAAGCAATGAAAGCGGGTCTGATGATTCAAATTGTCGGGATTACCATAGTGAAATGCATTTCATACTTCCGTTTATAGCGGTGAACACAGATTTGAAAGAGAACTTTTTGAATATAAGCAAAAGCAAAAAATCGGAAGGTAGTATTCAGCCAATAACCATATCGTCAGTAAGCGCATCTGCTGAAACCCAAACACCTTTGGAGAACATACGTATGGATATACCGGCTATTTGTGAGGCAAACATGGCAGAAAATGAATTGTGTTTGCGTAATTATTTCGATGCAATATACCGTGCAACGTGTATTTTACCATTAAAATGGCAAAATAAAGTTAAGCGAGACATGTTACAATCGTTAAATTCGGCAGAAATTTTAGCCGACGCTGATAGAAGGACGTTGCTCAGGGCTAAGCAGCAGGATAGTTGAATACACATACAATATGTGCATTCGTTTTTAATGTCTCATCGGACGACAAGGAAAAAAATTAGTTTGTTGTAAAGCTGTAAGTCTGCCGATACAACAACAACAACAGTCACAGGTGTGTTAAACATTTATTTTGATTATTCTAAGATTTATAAAATGCAGTTATGGCTATATAAAACAGGAAATTTATGTACGATCTTACCTAGGTGCACACAATGTTCTTCGTATAAGATTTGACATACGTAATCAGCTGTTTGCTGACGTCAGGCTAGCAAATGCTTATGAGGTTTAATGTGTGTGTTTTAAGGAATATTTTCACTTCGTAAAATAATGTGTAATTTTAACAAAAGTAATCATTTATTTTAAAGAATATAATACAACAATAAACACAATATAATGCATTAAAATAATTTACATATATAAAAATGAAATGTGCAGTTGCCAATTGTCGTAGCGACAATCACTCAAAAGCCTCAAATTGTAGCTTCTACATTTTCCCTTCGAATATGGAGTTGGCAAAAAAGTGGGTGGAATTTTGTCGGCGAGAAGACTACTTTAATCCAAAGACTAGTTTTATATGCATGAAGCATTTCACTCGCGGCGACTTTGGGAACAGTCTTCAATTCGAAATGGGTATAGTATAGAAACATATTAATTAGTTTATTTAAAAACTGTTTAACTATAGCATCGAATAATCTCGTCCTTCTGTTCTATGGCACATTGCACCTTTATTTTTGAATACATACATATAGATATACATATGAAAGTACATTTGTAAATACGTATCACTTTGACAGTGGATATTTCGAGAAGGTCCTATTCATAGTAGCACTGTATGTTAGTGGTATTACAGACACCTCGCAATTCACTCCCTCTAGAGCTCTATCGAAATTTTCGGCTCTGTTGATTGCTTAATTTTCCTGGTTCTAATAAAAGATCCGTTTTGTAAGTTTCGTTTACGACTTGCTAGTTTTTCAACTTTGTCAAAAGAGTTTGTTTGCTGCTTACAAGGTCTACATACATAGCTTGGTTTATTTGTCTTGACCCAGACTTCTTATTTTCAGACCCGTTTGCACAAAGAGCAACAGTTTCTAACTTTTGCGGTTCTTCGTTTCGCCAGTATTGCTTGTTCGCTATTTTCGCATTTGTAGGTGTCTTCATATAATAATTTAAATTACCTCCGATGCTATGTTCATCAGAGCCCATGCCTTAGTTATAAAATATTTGGGAACACATTTCAATAAGTATGTTCAGCACGTTGGTACAAAATCTTTGTTATAATTGCGATGAGTGGCAACGCCAAATCCAAAAAGAAAACGAAAAGGAGAACAGATGTTAGATCAAAACAAAACTGCAACGGTTGACAAACATGTCTCACCAACAAGCTGATAAACCATGGAAATACTTGTGTGGATAAATCACGCCCCAGGAGGCAAAATGGTGGAAGTGTTCGTGCTTTTAGGAAAATATATTGATATGATAATTTAATGGAGTCGTTTAATTATGTACAGTTATTAGATTATTTAGCTAGTGGACTGATAGCAGATGTCACGTTGAGTAATGAAAAGTCCATCGATAAAAGCTGTGAGCCTGTTTCAGAAAAACTATGTAGAATGCGACTAAATGCGGAACGATGCCGTAGGTATCGCTACGTAGGTAAAAACGCTACCGGCTAAAATTGAGCGCTAGAAATTATCGAAGCCCCAGAGACAAAGTTTTGAATATGAGTTGAAGTACAAGCAGAAGCCGAAAAGCAATTATATTCTGGTAATTCTATTTAATTTCAGTAAGTTAGTAGTCTGGTAACGGAAGCCAAGTCGTACTAGTAGTGATCCTTTATCGAGTTGTGTCCACAATTAATCTCTCGTCGTGATTTTAAAAACTTAAAAATTTTTTCAAAAAACTAAAACAAGTTAAACTACGTACTTAGTTTCATAATACCAAATATTATTGTTTTTTAAATTATGTTTAATTGTGTTATTAAAATATTCTAGGATACGCTAGGAATCGATTGTTGAAGCGTGGTGCTGTACCATCAATTTATGAAAACTTGCCTGAAGGATCGGATATAAAAACGACGAGTACCCAGCGTTTGCTTGTGCATGATATTCACATCGCAGAGGTAAGGATGAAAAACAATAGTGTTTTAATTTTGTTTTTAATGTTTTGTCATAATACCCTGCATAGGCTATTTAAAATTAGCTTAAATTAGCTGTCATACAAACTAATCGCTTATAATCAAGTTCTTGCATGAAAACTCTTGTTATTTGTGAAGGGTATTAAAGTTAATTTGTTTCTTGTTTTAATTTTAACTTTATCCATAACCTTTAATTTCATATTTGAACTCGATGTATTTATGAAACTTAGATGATATAGAATTTTTAGTGTACATGATTCAATGACACAATTAAATCTGGAATAATATTGTTCAACAATGCACTAAAACAATTTTCCACACCAATCTTATTCTTTCTCTTTCAATAAAAATAGCCTTGCGTAAAAGAAAACTTGAAAATAATAAATTTAGTGAAGACCAATCCGTTGGTATACACTAGTCCATCGATGAAAGTGCGACATGCAATTTGGGAGAAAATTGACGCGGCATGTGGATTTAAAAAACGTAAGTTAAAATTATAATATATGTATTTAAATAAATACATAGAAATTGAAAAAAAATTTCCTAAACTTCAGATGAATCCAAAAAACGTTGGGACCGACTGCTTAGCGACTTTTATGTACACACACTTAAAGTGTTCAAGAAAACACCACCAAACGACGGACTGCCAACACCTAATAACGGAAGCATCAAGTTGCATGACTATCGCTATTTCAAAGAAATGCTTTTCGTAATGCCCTATATCAAAAGCATTGTGATCGATGCTAAATTAAAAGCGATACAGGAAGATATAAAAAAGGAAGAAATACTTGCAGCTGATATGCAAACAAACAGAAATATGGAGTCAGAAACAGAGTTGGAGGCGATTGACATCAGTGCAGACATTGCTGAAGACACTGAGAAACCTTCCACATCCAAATCGCTTACAGTTACATCCCGCAAAAAAGCACACATGAATTACGTAACTAACAAACAACAAGATGAAAGTCCTATCGAAATAAATATCGATAACAAGGTTTACAAAATTCAAATGAGTACTTCAGAAGACTCAGAATCTCCTAATTATGATTTTCAAATAAAACAGAGTAAGTTAAATACTTTACTCACAAAATCACATCAAACATGTTCAGCAAATGCTGCTACAACTACTTTAACGACAACAGGCACTATGACGGAACGTAAGCAGACGACGCCCTACGAGAACTTATCATTGGAGGAAAAGAGTTTGAAAGCATTTTTTGATGCAATGTTAGATGCAACACAGCGGTTGCCTGAATTTCATCAGCGTCGTATTAAGGGAGATTTGGTGAAAGCGTTACGACATCGAGGAGTCAACATAACGGAATAGTATAATATAAACAGTGTTACATCTTTTCTTCTAGGTTAATTTTTTTTATTGGCATTCTAAGAATATTTCATATTGTGCATGAAAATGACTTGCAAAGCCTATTTTAGAAAAAACTCTTTAGAAACCGTTTATTAATAATAATTATAATAATGTATACAATATACCCTGAGGTTAGAATTACGAATTTTTTGATTAATACGTTTTTGCTAAAATTTTGTATTACATTTTAGTGATTGAAAATTAAATTTAAAATTTTTTTATTTATTAATTAAGAATTTAAATTTTTTTAAAGCTTTACACTCATCTGCTTAGAACCATCTCATATGATGAAGATTATGGCACTTCAGACAAGCAATGGACGTCACTCACAGTTGAGCTATTAACAGCTTCACTAACTCCCCACAGCGTCTGTGGAGTCAAACCCCGGGCCATAGCTTCTTCTTTATTAGCGTAGACACCGTTTACGAGATTATAGCCGAGTTAACAACGGCGCGCCAGTCGCTTCTTCTTTTCGCTACATGGCGCCAATTGGATATTTCAAGCGAAGCCAGGTCCTTCTCCACTTGGTCCTTCCAACGGAGTGGAGGTCTTCCTCTGCTTCCCCTGACGGGTACCGCGTCGAATACTTTCAGAGCTGGAGTGCTTTTGTCCATTCGGAAAACATGACCTAGTAAGCGTAGCCGCTGTCTTTTAATTCGCTGAACTATGTCAATGTCGTCATATATTTCATACAGCTCATCGTTCCATCGAATGTGATATTTGCCATGACCAATGCGCAAAGGACCATAAACCTTTCCCAGGACCAGAACCTTTCTCTCGAAAACTCGCAACGTCGACTCAGCTGTCAGCCAGTTCTATAAGCTGCATGCAACCAGTCCTCTCAGGAGTCTTACCACTTCTTTGCATGCTCTGTGACACCAACATATTCAACACCCTTTTCCCTATGACCCGATCACGTCGAAAAAACGCGTTTTCTGGGCCTCTCATTTAATAATTTTGATGGCAATTAACCCAAACGTGATCTGGATAACGTAGATCTGACTGTGGCAAAAACGGTACAACTAACATTTCTTGAATGCTTTGGCTGGGTCGATGGTACAAAGTTGGTACAACGCTTACGCGGTTATAGCCGAGTTTACAACAGCGCGCCAGTCGTTCTTCCTTTTCTCTGTTTGGCGCCAAGTGGATATTCCAAGAGTAGCCAGGTCCTTCTCCACCTGGCCTTTCCAAAGGAGTGGAAATTTTCTTTTTTCCTCTGCTTCCGTCGATATCCGGAGAGCCGGATTTTTTTCATCCATTCGGATGACAACATGAACTATGTCAATGTCGTCACATATCCCGTACATCTCATTGTTCCTTCGCCTGCGGTATTCGCCGTTGCCAATGCGGTAAGGACCGCCTTCTGCGGAACATTTTTTTTTTCGAAAACTCTTAGCGCCATCGTTATCGTCCATGCTTCTGCACCATATAGCAGGGCGGGGATGATGAGTGACTTGAGAGTGTGATCTTTGTACATCGAAAGAGGACTTTACTTCTCATTTGCCTACTCAGTCCGAATTAGCAACTGTTGGCGAGAGGTATTTTGCGTTGGATGTCCACTCTGCTACAAAATAATAAGTGAGGTAAGTTTCCCATGGTGCACCAGAAGAAGAAAACAACTTTCTTCGCAGAAGTTTGATTGCCAATAGCAGTGCCAGTTGGCTTGAGTTTTCCTTCAACTAAGCGCCACCTGCTCACAGCAACTTCAAAATATTGCTCCAAAAAACTTAAATGCCTGACAAGTTAGGAAGAAGAAGCACTTTGAATGTGTGTATGTATGTATGTATGTATGCGAGTATAGACATGTTATTAGTTAACTTTATTGATGTAGCAGCATATTGTGGCAGCAATGACCATCGCATGTTACAAGTGGCTCTTTAAATTCCACAACCGGCAGATGTTCAATCGGCTAGTTTGCTAGTAACAAACATAACAATAACAACAACAATCGAGTACGAATATGTAGATAGTCGAACATCTAAACTATTCGCACTCACTTAGCAGCTGTGCATGCCGCGCTCATATTCAAGTGCGGCAACAACTCAGATTTTCACATGCAATAACAACAACATGCCATGGACACCGGCGGCACAAAGCCACCCCACACACTTTGCGCACTCTGGGCGCATGAATGACTGAATGAATGAATGATTCGTGGAAGCCGACGATGACCATGTGGTAAAAGCGCCCAAGCCTTGAATGTATGTATGTGTGTGCATGTGCGCTTAGAGAAACACGGCAGATAACAAGTTGCAGCCGCCCCGGTGCGCATCTGTTGTCAGTGGACGCACTGGAGCGGCGGCGACCGTGGCTCATGCAGCTTCTATTCATGGCCACAATGTGGCAGCATTTAGCGCTGATATTTACACATGCACTCGCTTAGAAGCATGCAACCAAATCACATGCATGCCATCAGTTACATACGTGAGTATGTATGTTGCATGTTGCATGCGCCGCCGCCGTGTGGCACAATTGCAGGGGGCAATTGTTGTGTTATTGTCGTTGTCGTTGTTGTTGTTGTTGTCATTGGATTTTCTCGTGGGGGGAAAACTTGGCGCTGCATTAAAATCACATAGACGGCAGGTGCAAATGTTGTCTGTTCTCGCCTGTCCACATTGTGATCGCCTAAATGATGGCAGATGCTGCATGCCGCCGCCACATGTGCATGCGCTTCAAGTGGGTTACTTGCAACAAGTATAACCACTTCTGCGGCGATTTGGCTGGCTTTGATTTTTATATACCCATTCGACAAATATTTATTCATCAATCACACTCCTCTTGCACACCACCGTCTACGTGTACGTGTGTGTGTACGTATGTGTGTACTTAGTTGTAGTTAAGTTTAGTTATTTATAAAGTCGACGTTGTGGCAAATGAGCAGCTGCAAATAAGTTTGATTATTAATTAATTTGCATTTGTACATACACTTCACTTGTGGCAATCTCGCTGCTCAACCAGTCTTGGGGCTGTTGCAACAATCTGGTTGCTTTTGATTTTAATTTCATGTCGATCAAAATTGTTGACACGACTGAAGTGGAAGTTATAAATGATTTTCGTTCTTAATTTCTGTTAAATGGTGTGCTTGAATATATTATAGACGCCTCTTAGAAGCTGATGCTGAAAGTGCCAGCAACAGCGGCTGTTTGTCATCTACAGGGTTTGTCCCGAAAGTAATAGGATAGAGTAGATGTAAAAAAATTTATTGAAGCAATCGATGGAGCGCTGCCAGAATGCAGTCCAAGCATTGAGGCGCCACTGAAGGCATCCTTCTTAATAGCCTTGAGAGCGTTGAGACGCATGCTGCTTGGATCCCTTCTGTCGTCTCAAAATGCTTGAATTTTATCGGCATTTTCAGGCAAGGAAACAAAAAAAAAAGTCCGGAGGGCCACATCTGGGCTATAGGGTGGCTGCTGAAGCGTTGGGATGCCGGCCCTGGTTAGATAGATGTGCACAAGAAGGCGGTGCGAGCCAGGGCATTGTCGTGGTGCAACTTCCAATCGGCTACGTATCACCTGTTATTAAGCAATTCAAAAATTGGGTATCACTTTCACACATGTTCAGTTTCACACATAATTTAATAGCGTACCTCGGCTCTAACAAACGCGGAATTTTCGGCTTGCATCACTCACAGAAACACGTTATCTATGGAAACACGGCTCGGAGACAACTGACCAGCCGCTCGTTCGTTAGCTAGGAACGGCTTCTACGGAATACAGTCGGTGCGCGTACGTTCCGAAGCACAATCGCGGCGGAAGAAAATCAGTCCTATTACTTCCCAGACAAACCGTGTATAATCAGTGCAAACAACAACCTACCTAGAGTGATTCCAATACCGAGAGCCATTGTAGCTTGTAATAATGTTACGTGTTTTCTGGCTTCAAGTTATGCAATCGATGCATGCAGCTTTCGAATTCTTTGTGATACCTTAGAACATAAAGACTGCCGATACAACAAACAGCTGGTATAAATCTAACAGGCTTGGATAATCAAAAAGCAAGCAGAAAAGTTCCAAAGCGAAAGCACTACACGAGATCATATATTATACGGATATATAAATACATACAAATAATTATATACAATAATTATAGGCAAAAAAAAAAAAAAAACAGCAATGTTGAATATAAATCGCTTTCAACATAAGCAAATCAGCTCTTAATTCAATTTTCCATGCACTTGTTATAAGCTTCGGCAGGCAGGGCCTTCAATGTCTTCAGCGAATTTTGATTTTTTGGTTTCGGCTCATTTTTGGAACATTATTCGCTCGACTTTTGGACAATTTTGACGTCATATTCATAAATCCAGGTCTCGTCACCTTTTAAGGGTGCGTTTTATGAATATAGGTTGCTTAGCTACACTGTCAAGTATGTCTTTTACGACCTCTATTCGACGTCGTTTTTGCAAAATATTCAGGTATTTTCGTACGTGTTTTGCATTGACACACTTCTTACTCAAAATCTTAACCAAAATGTGTTCAGTCGAGCCATAAGATGTATTGAGATCTTCTACCTTCTAGAATCTACCTTCCTTCGATGCCTACCTGATGATTATCAAGCACTGTTTTCTTACATTTTTCAATATTTACTGGGAGGTACTTTTTTATAATTTATTTTGCAGGTTCTCGATTCTTATTGTGTTATATTTCTGTTGGATCTGTTGAACCAAAAGTTCTCTAAAGACATTGTTCAATGCTTCAGCCTACTTGAAATAACGGATCATCCAAGTAAAGATATTTTTTCAATAGCCTTTTTTTAACAGAGCACATGTGAGCCGTGTCAAGCTGTCATGTAATTTTTTGCGTTCTGTAACAATTTGTTTGTTCGCAGTAACTCGGACTGAATTAAATTGAAAGCGTACAAAATACAGCTTGTGCTTGAACTGAACCGCTCGATTTTCCCAAATGACGTCACTTCGCTCTAAAGGCAATTGAAACGTTCCAAGAAGATTCGACGTTTTCGGCCCATTTCTGGCTCAATGGGTATGTAACCATGCAAAAATTTAGCATTTGGGACGAAGAGCAACGTGAAGAGCTTCAAGATATGCTACTTTATCCAGAAAAAAACAATGATTTGGTGTGGGCCGTTGGAATCAAAAACGATGCCGGTGAGAACGTAACCGCAATTGGCAGCCGTTATCGCG